ACTCCTTTCCAAATGAGAAAAGTCGACTCCTTTTGCAATATGGAAAATTTTCTTTTGCTTCTCCCTCCTTTCCCAACGAGGAAAGTCGACCATGACCACTTTTGCAATATGGAAATTTTTTTTTTTTTTGGGGAAGTTGAGGGAACTGTTCATAAATTAGGGAAGCACGTATTACAAGCACATTAGTTTAGAAGTCAATTATTAATTTAAAATTTTAAAATGTCAATACAACCCATTCTTATCGTAAAATGACCAAATATTATCCCCAAAATACAATTTTAATCTTTATATATTGGACTTCATACTTTCATATAATTTAATATTAAGTATGCATAATTTATTAAATGATATAAAAAATTACTTAACAGAAATTATTTTATGTAAAACATAATTTGAAATTAAACATGTATATAATTTCATATAACTACAATTTATTAATATATTAATCAATAGTATAAATTTAAATTAACAAATTTTAAATATTACTAGAAATAATAAAAATAATTTTTATTTGTAATAATAAAATATAATATGATTTGCCCTCCAAAACCAAAAGCACCAAGGGGCATAAACAAATACGACACATTTATTTAATATATTTAATTAAATAGTTTAATTTAATTATAATAAATAAGTTAGTAAATCAAATACAAACACACTATACATAATTATCGTATTAATTCGTATTGACACAATTATCGTTATTTTTATATTGTGTTGTAACCATGTTAGCATGTCGGGTTAAAACTTGCGACACAATTGTGACTCGAACTCTGGGTCCATGTAACTTTTGAAAAAACAAAAAAACTCTGGGTCCATGCAACCGGGTGGCCCATTAGCATCTCACCCATTCGAGGCTCTCACGACTTGCACGTGCAAGCGTGGCTTGCTTCAAGAACATTGGAACAAACACAAAAACGTCGCCGTAAAGTTCCTTTCCTTTACCTTGGCTAAATAGGATTTTTTCAAAAAACCGAGTAATAGAGAGGAGAGTAGAAGATTCCAGAACCACGAATTCCCTCCTATTTCGGGACCTCTCTGTCCATAAATACCCCAATCCGCAAGCAGCTTGCAATTCGTAAGCGAGCTCTGTTTCGAATCCTCTCCCAAAATCCCCTAGTAGCGTTCGTTCTACACAACTTTCTCTCTCTACAGAACCTTCTCTCTAACATTCTTTCAAGCTTTCTTTCTGCATTGCTATGTTGGTTGAAGAATCAGTAGTAATGGCGGATGTTCAGATGGCCGACGCTGAAAGCTTTGCCTTCCAGGCAGAGATCAACCAGCTTCTCAGCCTCATCATCAACACCTTCTACACTAACAAGGAGATTTTCCTTCGGGAACTCATCAGTAACTCCTCTGATGTATGTATTACATATTCTCTCTGTCATATGTGAATGTGTGTGATTTGGTGTTGAATTGATTAATTTTGGTGTATGTAGGCTTTGGATAAGATCAGATTCGAGAGTCTGACGGACAAGAGCAAACTCGATGCTCAGCCGGAGCTCTTCATCAAGATCGTCCCCGACAAGGTCAACAAGACCCTCTCTATCATCGACAGTGGTATCGGAATGACCAAAGCAGGTACTATAATCAGTTTGACTCCCAATTTTAAGCTAAAATTTCATGATTGTTTCCCAGGAAAATTTTCATCAGAAAAAATTGAAACTATTGTAGAATGTAGTAGCATTCTAGGGCAAATTTAGGATTATTGTAGTTGCATTTTTTTAATTGTTTTTTGGATGGTCAATAATTGAAAATTGTTTGTGAATGTGTTGTTTTTATTAGATTTGGTGAACAATTTGGGGACAATTGCAAGATCGGGGACCAAAGAATTCATGGAGGCGTTGCAGGCTGGTGCAGATGTGAGCATGATCGGTCAATTCGGTGTTGGGTTCTACTCTGCTTACCTTGTTGCAGAGAAGGTCATTGTGACCACAAAGCACAACGATGATGAACAGTACATCTGGGAATCTCAAGCTGGTGGGTCCTTCACTGTCACTAGGGACGTCAATGGCGAGCAACTAGGCAGAGGGACCAAAATCACTCTCTTCCTCAAGGAAGACCAGGTAAAAATTCCAATTCAATGTTATGTTGCTTTGTTACTGTTGAATTGAACCCGTGCAATGTAATGAATGTAATGTTGGTTTTTGAAACTCCAAATTGTTATATTTGTCTCTCAACCATGGGAAGTTTGAATCCCTCCGTTTTTCTTTGCAACCAAACAGATAAGTTGTCTGGGATTGTTTGAATTCGGTTGCTTGGTACTTACTTTATGTTGTTGATTTCTTGTAGTTGGAGTACATGGAGGAGAGGAGGATTAAGGACCTTGTGAAAAAGCATTCTGAATTCATTAGCTATCCTATCTATCTATGGACTGAGAAAACCACTGAGAAAGAGATCAGCGACGACGAAGACGATGCACCAAAGAAGGAAGAGGAGGGTGATGTTGAGGAGGTTGATGAGGAGAAAGACAAGGACACCAAGAAGAAGAAGAAGATCAAGGAGGTCAGCCATGAGTGGCAGCTCATTAACAAGCAGAAACCCATTTGGTTGCGAAAGCCGGAGGAGATCACCAAGGAAGAATATGCCTCCTTCTACAAGAGCTTGACCAATGATTGGGAGGATCACCTTTCCGTCAAGCACTTCTCTGTTGAAGGACAGCTTGAATTCAAGGTTATCCTTTTTGTACCCAAGAGAGCCCCATTTGATCTTTTCGATACCCGAAAGAAGATGAACAACATCAAGCTCTACGTCCGAAGGGTGTTCATCATGGACAACTGCGAGGGGCTCATCCCGGAGTACCTTGGATTTGTCAAGGGTGTTGTGGATTCTGATGACTTGCCACTCAACATTTCTCGTGAGATGCTGCAACAGAACAAGATTCTCAAGGTGATCAGGAAGAACCTTGTGAAGAAATGCATAGATATGTTCAATGAGATTGCGGAGAACAAGGAGGATTACACTAAGTTCTATGAAGCTTTCTCGAAGAATTTGAAGTTGGGTATTCACGAGGACAGCCAAAACAGGGCGAAATTGGCTGACCTGCTCCGATACCACTCCACGAAGAGTGGTGAAGAGTTGACTAGCTTGAAGGACTATGTCACCAGGATGAAGGAGGGTCAGAAGGACATCTACTACATCACCGGTGAGAGCAAGAAGGCCGTTGAGAACTCTCCATTCTTGGAACGGCTCAAGAAGAAAGGCTACGAGGTTCTTTTCATGATTGATGCCATTGATGAGTACGCTGTTGGGCAGCTGAAGGAATATGATGGGAAGAAATTGGTTTCCGCCACAAAGGAGGGTTTGAAGCTTGACGACGAGAGTGAGGAAGAGAAGAAGAAGAAAGAGGAAAAGAAGAAGTCATTTGAGAGCCTTTGCAAGACCATGAAGGAAATTTTGGGAGACAGAGTTGAGAAAGTGGTTGTATCTGATAGGATTGTGGATTCGCCGTGCTGTTTGGTTACAGGAGAGTATGGGTGGACTGCAAACATGGAAAGGATCATGAAGGCGCAGACTCTGAGAGACAGCAGCATGAGCTCATACATGTCGAGCAAGAAGACCATGGAAATCAACCCAGACAATGGAATCATGGAGGAGCTGAGGAAGAGAGCCGAGGCTGACAAGAATGACAAGTCGGTGAAGGACCTTGTGCTGCTACTATTTGAGACTGCTCTCCTGACTTCTGGCTTCAGTCTTGACGATCCAAACACTTTCGCGGCGAGGATTCACAGGATGTTGAAATTGGGTCTGAGCATCGATGAGGAAGAGGTTGGTGGCGAGGATGCTGACATGCCGGCATTGGAGGAAGATGGTAATGAGGAGAGCAATATGGAGGAAGTGGACTGAGGGCAGAAGCACAGGATGTTAATTTTTATATGACAATTTTCAAATTTACCAAGTCAAAGTTGTAATTTTTTTTTTTTTATGCTAAACTAAGAGTTCTAATTACGGACAATTGCATGGCTTTTTTATCTGCACATATATATATATATATATATATAGTATGGACATAGCCTCCAAGCTTTACCGTGCTATATTAATAATATTTCTCCATTCCCTTTATGGGCAACTTGGTTCCCTGCCCTATCAGGATGAAATTTGTCACTTACCAAGCCCATTTGGTCACAGGGCTAGGGGATAGGTGGTCCGACACGTACATGGACCAAGACCATCTAATAGTCTCTCTCTAAATCTACATCTCGGTGGTCATCTTCCCCCACCATTATCTACATCTCTATAAAACCCTCTCTTTCCTCGCGAATGATGGTCATCTTCCCCACCATTGAAATCTTTGTGTCTTTCTAATCCACTACCCAACAACCTCCACTACTACCTCCTCCTCCATTCCTAAACCCTAACCATATAATTTTGTGCATTTTTTGCTCTGTGTTTTGGAGTTTAATTTACTAATTACTGATTAGATTCAAATGGTGGCCTCAATTTTGCAACTCACTTGCACACACACTCGTCTCTATTATCAATCAAAACCAGGCCACTTCTGGATGTGGCTGAGGATTAGGGGAAAAAAAATCTGATACTAGTCAATCTGGACTTTTATTTTTTTATATAAAATTACATAACATTTTTAGGACAGATGCCTGAATTTCATTGGGGAAAGTCATCACAAACTTCATCCTCACAGGGATGGACTCAGAATATTGAAAAAAACCTTATAAGCAGTAAATTTTCACAACATATACTAGGAAATCATCAGTCTAACTAGGCATACTAATCTGCAAATAGACTTTGTCAACAATGCAAAGAGTAGGTAGAAACATGGCAGAAATGACATTGCAACCGTTCAGTCTTCGGTTGTAGACAGAACTGTTCAGTCCTCAAGAGGCTAAGCCCGTGTGTGGCACAAAATCGAAGTAAGGATTGAATTTATCCGAGATAAGAATGCTTAATGGCCAAAGAATATTTTATTAAAATAACAAAGAGGACAAAATTGAAGGTAAGATGATTCAAAACTGTGATTAGGAGACATGATATTGATTGGTCTGCGCAATCGCACCATGTAAGTTCTAAGGATTGAATTTAATTCGCTAAAACATTACAATCAAGAAAAGCTTGAACTGGGAGGCGCCGCACCGTAACCTCCAGCTCCACACCCAAAGCCACCCCTTCCAGCTCCCTGAAAGATTGAAACCAGTAGTAAGCCAAATGATAGCATCGAAGCGAAAAAAAAAAAAAAAAAAGAAAAAAAGAAAAAAAAAAAAAAAAAACTTTGGAAGAATCTGCACTCATTTCACTCATTCTGATAAAGATCTAAATCTCATAAAACAATTCACTTTGAATGCATACTAGGACAAATCCTAAAACACTCGAAGAATACAAATTAACAGTGACTGGTGTTTGCGAAACTGAAATTCTTAACCTCATTACAATCACAAAAATACGAGTATGAAGAATGAGGAACAAGCCGCCTTAAAGGAAAAACCTTCTTCCATGAAAATTGTATGAAATGATAAGTTGCAAGATGGGCATAGAACATATTCTTAGCAGTCAGGTCCATATAACATAAACTGCAACAGTATGCGGTAGCAGTGAAAACACATAATTTACAACATAGATATGACCCAAAGCACATCAAAAGCCAATCAAAGCATGCAAGGATATGGACACAAACTAACATGTATAAGCTGATGTGGAAATTTCTAAAATAGACTATATTGTAGAAATATAAATTTTTATATTTATATCTAATCGTTTTGTTCATTTTTCCATATTAAAAATTGCATAATTTGGAAGATAACACTCAATATGCTGATACAAATTTTCTTTGCGATCTCCAGTCAACATATCTCATTGTGAGACTTACATGTTCCTTTTCCTGTTTTAAAAGGGGCGTCAGTTGCATGCTTCACTGGCTTTTGTGACGTGAACTTCTAAAAAAAACTTATGATGCGTACATGCATGCCCTGCAGTGTTATTAGAGGCCCAAGGCATTAGAGGTCCTTTGGAGTTGAGGTACGAGGCGCATGCCTGAGTGAAGTGAGGCGCATAATTAAAAATTTAAATTACCATAATAACATTCATATCTCATAAGTTATATCAATATTCTAAAAATTAATATCAAATAGTAATATAAAAGAGTAAATCCATCAATTATACAAGTATCTAACAACTATAAAACAGAGCACAAATTTGTTTTCTTGAAAGGCAAAGCAAAATGTGTTTTTTTGAATGGCAAAACAAAGCCCAAAAAGAAATAAATATGTTAACAAAAAAAAAAAAAAAAAAAAAAAAAAAGAAGAAAAATTAGAGCCAAAAAAAAAATAAAAGATACAAAGAGAAGAGAATTAGTCGAAGAGAGAGATGTAAACAAAGATAAGAAGAGAGGGGAGATCTAGAGAGAAAAAAGAAAGAAAGAAAGAATTGATGTAACTTCGTCGTTTATCTCTGCAATTAGGGCTTCATCTTCATCTCACAATCTCATTCTATCGTTGTTCGGTTAACACTTTGACTCTTGGGTTTTCTTATTTTTTATTCTTTTGTACCAAAGTTACTTCGATTGTATGTTTGTGCTTTTGTTTTCTGTTTATTAAGTTGCCAAAAATGCCCCTTTTGGCTTAAGAAATAGAACAATCGTATTTTATTAAACAAATATCAGTGAGGCACGCCTCACGAACAGGACGGGGCGCAACCAAGACAAGTGCCTAATAAACATCAGTGAGTCTGGAATGATAACAAGCGCTAAACTTGAGTCTCGAGCCTAGGTGCACCTAGGTGTGACCCTGGGCGCGCCTTTAACAACACTGATGTCATATAAAATACATTCCGAAGAGTATATGAGAAGTCATGTCAGACACCGTTGGCACAACACGTAGAACAAAGTATCCACGCTAAAGGACTGAAACACACTAGTCTCCGCATAGACAACTCTACAATTCCTTAAGTGGAAAGAGAATTCAAATGGCATAAATCACAGCCTGCTCATTGAAAGGACAGGTTGACAACTATTAAACACCAAGGGTTAGCAATACTTGGATCAAAATTCCAACCTCTCGTAAATAAGTTAATTGAAAGCTTTTGAGATGCTTTCTTCTTGTAGATTCATATGCCTTTTATCATAGCTTCTAATACCAGTTTATTTGCTCAGAAGTACCACAACGAAAGGGCTCCTCGAGCTCAATATCTTGAGGTTTTTAGTTATTTGAGCTATCAAAATTCTAAAAATTTAAACCCATTCAATGAGAACAACTGAAGCATCAGGCCCACTGATTTTAACTTTTGAAACTGATCAAAGTCTGAGTACTATTCGGAAAGTTAGACGTGCAATTAAATTTGTTGAGCATTAGAAACCTATTATGGTGGGTTTATCTTTGAAAGCTCAGGTGGACAGAGAGAGCTGCTTGTTCACGATAATGGAACCCTTATGAAGTCAGTTTGGGGGTTGTAAAAACAATTGTGCCGATTTGGATACACATGAACTAAGGCAGTCTACGGTGAAGATAGAAACAGATTTAAGAATTTAACTCAAATCACTATCAAGACCCTAACAGAAACCTAAGAACAGAGCATAAGCAAACCATGAGAGAGAAAAAAGTTTGTTCTTTCACTTATTCAGCTGATTTATATTTAATGCTGATATAGAGTTACCATCAAGTTAAAATAAAAGGTGCTACTATAAGCCCATCTATATAGACAATGCAATAGTGCGGGTAGGAAAAGAAATTCGAAACACATTCATCAATATAAACGGTTGTGGTCATTTTGCTACGGTGTCAAGGAATAAACAGCAAATCATCCCCAAGACAACACTTGGGCACTTCAACCACCTTCAAATATATCATCTAGCAATTTAAACAAATATAAATGATCAAATCTAGGGAATTTGTTTAGTATGAAAACAAACAAACAAACAAAAAAAATCCTACTAATTAACATCCCCACTTTCCATTCATTAGTGGTTTGGGTAAATAGAGCAGCTTCGGTTTGACAAATAAATACAAGTCACAAAGGAGTGTTCTGAAATATAAAAGCAGAGATGATTAAAAGGCATAACTTACTATGAGTGAACACACACATCACAAGATCTTTTAGTTAAATTCAAAAGACTAACATCTAACAACTGCCACACACTAGCACAACAGTCCTCTATTTGTAACAGCTTCAATTGAATAACATAACAACCATACCAAACATTTTGAATCATGCATCAATCGTAAAACATTTGGAATCCCTAATAACACAAATCAAATCTACATCAATAAATTATCTATATTTATTTAGTCAATAGAAATTACCCTAAAAGAAGGCTGAAAGTCGGCCGGAGCACCACCCTTTTCGCCACCAAACTCACCGGGAGGGCCCCCTCGAGGACCCCCACGGTATCCATCCCGGTCACCAAACCTCGGCCTGTCACCTTCAAACCGTGGTGGGCCACTGTAATATCAAAATAAATCCACAAAATTAATCACATTTCTACCAAAAATCAAAACTTTGAGAGAAAATGCATAAAAGCCATGGGCCGACCAGTGGGCCTTGCCGACTTATTCAAAGTGGCAGGAACAATCTCCGGTGGAAGATTGAGGTAAAAACATGGAACATATTCTTAATTATGAAGTTATAAACAATAAGTAGAGTGCGATCATGCAGCCCCTCGTTTTGAAAAAGGAGAGAGATATGGTGTATATATATATATATTATATCTATGTGTGTGTGTATATATATATATATATAGATATAATGAGATGGATATTTAATAGGAGTGGAATATAAAATAAAAAAAAAGTAATTATACTTGTACCGATTTGTTGCACCGAATATTTTTTATTAGTTATTTATGTATAGTACATGTAAGTGGAGGGTTCACTTTTTTATTTATGCGATTTGTTATAATAAATTGTTAAACCTATTTCTTTTAATCGATCTATTTATAAACAATCTCCGATGGAAGATTAAGATAAAAACATAAATCATATTCTTAATTATGAAGTTATAAACAATAAGTAGAGTGCGATCATGCAGCCCCTCGTTTTGAAAAAGGAGAGAGATATGGTGTGTGTGTGTGTGTGTGTATATATATATATATATATAATGAGATGGATATTTAACAGGAGTGAAATATAAAGAAAAGAGTAATGATACTTGCATCGATTTATCGCACCGAATTGTTGCACCGAATATTTCTGATTGATTATTTATGCATAGTATATGTAAGTGGAGGGTCCACTTTTTTATTTATGCGATTTGTTGTGATGAATTGTCAGATCTATTTATTTTAATTGATTCATTTATGCATAAATAAATAAGTGAGACCCTCCACTTACATGCACTATGCATAAATAATCAATCAGAAACATTCCGTGCAACAATTCGGTGCAATAAATCAATACAAGTATCATTACTCGAAAGAAAATTCAAAAATATTTGGTGCAATAAATCGGTGCAAGTATCATTACTCGAAAAAAAAAAAAAAAAAAAAAAAAAGAGATGGGTGGATTGGACTCATTACTCTTTAGAAGGAGAGAGTTAAAAATTGGTGAAAAGAATTAAAAGGTGGCAGCTTCACATATACAAGATTGCCAAATAATGACAAGTATAAAATATTATATTTAGAGCATTGTTATTGTAAGAGTCACATAATTCCTATATTTAGGAATTTGGGTGAGGGAATTAATTAAGAAAGAATCATTTGCAAGTAAGAAAACAAATTAAGTTTTTTTCTCTCCTCTTTTCACGTTCTCTCTTTCTCTCTCTTGGTTAACCCTCAACTAATTTGGCGTAAAATTTTTGTGATGAGGTTATTCTAAAATTCAAAAATGCGAACAAATAAAAAAAAAAAATCTCAAATAGAATGAAATAGTGTCACGAACATAATAAATGAAATTTAACTTACTAGAACCCAGTATGTCACCTTTGAGGGTTAACCCATTGAGAGAAAGAGACAGATTGGTTGAAGGTATTAACTAATGACTCAACCAATGAGAGAAAAAGAGAATGTGGAGAGAAGAGAGAGAAAAAAGCTAGATTTGTTTCTTTAATTGTGAATGATTCTTTCTTAATTAATTGCCTCTCCCAAATTCTTAAAAATAGAAATTGTATGGCTTATAAGCTCCGAACTTTGTAGACTTTTTTGCGATAGCGCTCTCATAATAACACTACTCTTATATTTATTACATTTACAAACATACTTGTACTAAATGATTTTTTTTATTAAAGACGTTGTAAATGTACTAGTGACACCAAATAAAGGAATGACTACTTTAATCCACTTCATTTTTATAAATTAGTTGAACTATCCTAAAAGGGAACACAAAATCATATGATCTGTATGAGGTACTGTTTTTGTATTATTAAAGCACATTTAAAAGGGTGTGGTGTTATCATCAAGAGTAAAAACTTATAATATGTATACTTGCATATATAACTTATATATATATGTGTGTGTGTGTGTGTGAGAGTTTTTATTCCACACATCTCATACAGTACTGATTTGATCCCAGTGTTGGGTTTATTTCCTTCTATATGGAGGAAAGCCTAAGTAGGTTTTATTAAAGCCCAAAGCCCAGCCCTTTAGAGTGAATAACCCTAAGGAAGTCAGAATAAAAAGGTAGGAGAGATCAGCCGTAGCTAACACAAAAGAAAGAGAGAAAAACGCAATTTTTTTTCACACTGCCCATATTTCATCAAACCTCCGATCCTGCTTTGTTCGTGGTCCGATCGAGCTGAAATTTGGAGGAGAGGTTCATGACTCAATGAGTTAAAATATGAATGGTGAAGATCGGATTTTGAGCTCTGGAACAGTGATTTGTGCCCATGAACAGTAACCGGGTTTATAATATTTCCCCTCCAATTCTCTTTGTTTTTGCCAAGATTGATGATATCTTGATGAGATGTATTGTAGCCTCTAATTGCGATTAGAGAAGACTTTGTGTACCCATTATTTGGTTGATAGTGGAGATTTCAACTGGATTAGGTCCCGTGGTTTTTGTTCCTCACACTGGGGAAATTTTCTACGTAAAAAATTGCTTGTGTTCTTGTGGTTTGGTGTAATTGATTTTCTTTTCTATTATTTTCAGTACATATAAAATTAGAGATACACTATATTTGCTTGCATATAGGTAGAAGAGTTATTCCGCTGTATTTGTTTATTGTTATCTCTCCCAACAAAGTGGTATCAGAGTTCCAGGTTGACAGATTGTCAGGTTGGCAGTTTAAGTTATGGAAGCAAATACAAGTCGAATGATTAATCTCAATGGTTTAAATTATCACATATGGAAAGGAAAAATGGAGGATCTTCTTTATGTGAAAGATTATTACCTACCGGTGTTTAGTGCTAAAAAACCAGAAAATAAGTCTGTTGTGGAATGGACTTTGTTACATCGACAGGTGTGTGGGTATATGAGGCAGTGGGTAATGTTTTGAACCATATTAATGGAGAGACAAATGCACGTTCTCTATGGAGTAAGCTTGAACAGCTATATGCTAGAAAAACTGGAAATAATAAATTGTTTCTGGTTAAGCAGATGATAGCTTTGAGATATCAAGACAGGACTCCTTTATCTGATCACCTGAATACATTCCAAGGAATTATTAATCAGCTGCCTGGAATAGGTATTAAGTTTGATGATGAAATACAAGGGTTATGGTTGCTTGGTTCATTACCGGACTCGTGGGAGACGCTCAGAACTTCATTGTCTAACTCTGCTCCGAAAGGTGTAATCACAATGGCTATGGCCAAGAGTTGTTTGCTAAATAAAGAGATGAGAAGAAAAACACAGGGACCCTCTTCACAGTCAAAGATCTTGGTTACAGAAAAGAGGGGGAAAAGTAAGAGCAGAGGTCCGAAGAACAGAGATAACAGCAGAAGTAAGTCCAACAAGTTTGCAAATGTTGAGTGTTATCATTGCGGGAAAAAGGGACACATCAAGAAATATTGCAGGCAATTGAAGAAAGAAAACAAGAATGAGAAAGGGAAGGGAACGAAGAATGGAGATGACAAAGAAGGTGATGACAGAGTTGCTACCACCACTCCTGCAGACTTCCTCATTATTTATGATGATGAGACGATAAATGTTGCATACCATGAGACCAATTGGGTGATTAACAGTGGTACCTCTATTCATGCTACATCTCGAAAGGATTTCTTTATATCCTATAAATCTGGTGATTTTGGAACAGTAAAGATGGGCAACGATGGCTTGGTTAAAGTCATTGGAATTGGGGATGTGTATCTGAAGATGAATAATGGCATGAGGTTAGTTCTCAGAGATGTGAAACATATTCCTGACATTCGTTTGAATTTGATTTCTACAGGTAAACTTGATGATGAAGGGTACTGCAACACTTTCAGTGATGGCCAGTGGAAGCTCACTAGGGGTGTTATGGTTGTGGCTCAAGGCATGTAGCACTCTGCACTGTACATTCTGTAAACAAAGATCTCCAACGACATTATTAATGCGATGGAGGATAATGATACAACAGAGTTGTGGCACAAAAGACTGGCTCACGTGAGTGAGAAAGGATTAGCTCTACTTGGGAAGAAAAGTCTACTATATGGACTGAAAAGTACACTTCTGAAAAGGTGTACACATTGTTTGTCAGGGAAGCAGAGCAGAGTCTCCTTTAAGAATTCCCCTCATTCGAGAAAGTCGGAGATACTGGATTTGGTACATTCAGATGTGTGTGGCCCTATGAAGACGAGAACACTTGGTGGCTCCAGATACTTTGTGACCTTCGTAGATGATCATTTAAGGAAGTTGTGGGTATATACCTTGAATTTAAAAGACCAAGTGTTAGCAGTGTTCAAGCAATTTCAAGCCTTAGTTGAGAGACAGACTGGGAAGAAACTGAGATGCATTCGTACTGATAACGGCGGAGAGTATTCTGGTCCTTTTGATAAGTATTGTAGACAGCAGGGTATCCGGCATCAAAAGACAACTCCTAAAACTCCTCGGTTGAATGGCGTAGCAGAAAGGATAAACAGGACACTGGTTGAGAGAGTGAGATACTTACTTTCACAAGCCAGGTTGCCAAAATCCTTTTGGGGGGAGGCATTAAGCACAGTTGTTCATGTGTTAAATCTTACACCCTGTGTTCCTCTACAGTTTGATGTGCCAGACCGAGTTTGGACAGGTTAGGATGTCTCCTATAATCATCTTCGTGTTTTTGGGTGCAAAGCATTTGTGCATATTCCAAAAGATGAAAGGTCCAAACTTGATGTGAAAACGCGACAGTATATATTCCTTGGCTATGGCCAAGATGAGTTTGGGTACAAGCTTTATGATCCAGTTGAAAAGAAAATTGTGAGAAGAAGAGATGCCGTGTTTATAGAAGATCAGACGATTCAGGATATTGAGAAAGCAGGGAAATCTATGTCTCAGCAAGTTGATATCTTGACTGATGTAGATCTAGCTCCTCTGAAGAATCTGCCATCTCAG